TTTGATTTTCCGTGCATTTTTGTTTCGAAGAGGAAGGCCCTTTACTTCTTTCTAAAGATACTTCCCTCTAAATTCGTTCCTTTTCTTCAGCCGTTCAAAACTTTGCTCATTCTCTTATAAGAAAAATAGTATTCCCGTTTACAGTGCAGAAAATGCATTCTATGAAGTGTACTGTGATGGCGGAATGATAGGTGTAAAAGATTTCATTGTTCGTGTGCTACGTTCCACGAGTGAGAGGAGCGCTGTTGTTATTGTTCGCCCTTGGTTAAAACGGTATTCACTCGGTTTAAACCTATGTATTATAAGAACAATGAAGTGGTAGAAAAAAACTGCATTGGGAGAGTAATTCGCAGGATGTGTGCGATCCCAATAATGTAGGTTTTTTTTTTCATTGTCTGGAGCCAGATTACTTGTTTTAATACGCTTCGTAGTTTTGATTCGGTCATGCGAAGTGATAGCATATTGAAATTCAATCTTCCATTGCAAGGCGGTAATATCAGACTGAAGAGAACATTGTTTATATTATACAACCAGAGACCTGTTCTAATTGCAATCACTTAAAAATCCTGATGTTAGTAGCATCATATAGCGGCAGATGATTGCTTAACATTTTTCATTTCAAAAAGATTAAGAGTTTCCTGTATGCAACCTTTTGAGCCGCAAGTCATTATCACCAACATCGGTGAAGTTCAACGATAATGCGAAACGTTAACAAAATTCATATTAATGCGCAAATAGATGAATGAAGTTACTCGAGGTAAAAAGAACATAGCTAAAGTTAGCTGAAGTACAAAGGAACCGGCAAACACCAAAGAATGAGATTTGCTTGATACGAGGCGATAAAAGTCAGCAATTGACCAGTGTTACTTCAACATATCAGAGCACCTTCCCCCTCATCTTCGTTTCTCTCTATTTGCAGGATATTGTCTGTCCTGTACTTCATGAATTGCAATTTATTTTTGGCTAAAATTGACAACCGAAATTTGAAAAGAGGTATAAGGCGCTATACAGATAGTTGTTGCGAATTACTGTTTCTGAGTCAGTCTTTGCGATTTCATTAGACTTCCATCCAAAGAGATCGATGCACTCAATTTGCACCAGAATTCTTCAATTATTCGACAACGTAAATGACAGTTCGATCGAAAATTGGCTTCTGAAGAACAAACAATGTGCTCTCCCTGCATGTTTGATTATATAGTTAGCAACTGCGTTCTTTGTTTTTTTTTTAAAATTATGAGAGAAAAAGGGTAATGGACATTATACGGTGCAAAACATATGTGAGGTTGATTGACAAATGCTCCCTTTCTTGTCCAGAAATTGAGAGTACACAGCTCATTTCGATATAACCATTAAAGTAGACAAATGGACTTTGCTACAAAAAAATGTAGAAAGCAATGCGCTTCGCAATGAGGAAGTTCCGAAGGAGAACTGTATATTTTATTTTATGATTTTGATTTTGTTATAGTCTTTCTCAGTCCATTCCTTAAAGATAAGTTAATTTCATTTGCAGCATAGTAATGATAAGTTCATAAGTTTGCTTTCTTTTGCATTCAAATTAGATAACTGATATACTATTTCGAATATTGCTAGTTACCGCTTTATGGATATTTGAAGGCTGGAAAGATAAGTTAGGATATCATTCTGGGCAAATTAGTCTTTTTATACTTTCTTATCGCTAAGTGAAGAAAATGCAGATCATCTATTATCATCAAATATTTGCATTTAATGCCAAGTAATACATTTAATGCCAAGTAAGTCCAGTTTCATTAACTTATATCCAATAAAATTTATGATAATGGCGTGCGTTCCATCCCAACTGTTCACTACCAAAATGTAATTTCATTTTTCTGCTGAAATGTATTTTTTCACTTTTTTCTTTGGATAACGTCACTCAAATTGACATCCGTGTATCGCATTGTTCCCGTAAATAACTCTCTGCAAAACTATTCTATTAGGAATTCCTTTTTTCAAGGGGCTGTACGCCTAACTAACGGATAGAGTAAAAGCGGGGAAATGTTAATGCCACTGTATCACAACTACGATGGAAAACAGACTTCAAAGAATAGCATTTGGGATATTGGTCGCCCTGTCCGTATATGTACATGTACTATCCTTTCTTAAAAAACAGTAAATGAAATTGGGGAGAGGGGGAGGGGAGCAGACTTCTCCGTGGCTCCGCGGACAGAAAAAAATTTGCTGGAGGGCTGCATTTGGCCTGCGGATTACTAGATGCCCAGGTCAGACTTAATTTATTTTTTGAGAAAATAGTCTTCTTTAGTGTTTCTCCCACTGTAGTGCAGGGATCGCTTCTCTGGTTCGTTGGCGCCATTGTGCTTGATCGGGGTGTACGCCAGCAGCCTTCATATTCTTGTGCAGCGTGTCAGACCATTGTTGCTTCAGGTGACCTATAGGTCACTTTCGTGAGATGTCGAGGTTGATGGCAGTCTTGCACACAGAATCATTATTGGTTAAAGGGTATGGTCTCACCATCTGAGGCGAGACTCACATAGCTTGTCAGAAACCGGAGTGATGCCAGACCACAGTCGAATGTCATCAATGCATACGTGGTCGAGGCGCGTAAGACCGACCAGCTGTCCATTGCAGCATCTTTTTTTCCATCATACTAAGGCGATGCTCTATAAATTCCTGATCGCAGGCCAAAACTGAGCTCCGTAGATCGCGACAAGTCGAATCACAGAGCGATAGATCTTTGACTTCAGTTGGTCAGGATGTTCTTGTCGCACATCAAAAGCAATTGTCGACCTGAGGTACTTGAATGCATTTATCCGTGATAGCTCAGTATTGTTAATTTTGATGGATCCAGATTCGCTTACATTGGTTGTCAAGTACACGGTTTTTCTGACGTTTAGATGAATCTGGTTGAAAAACTTTAACCAATGAAGGAGTTCCAAAATTTTGACTTGCATGCTTTCATGCTGTCGTCTAATTACATTTTTAAAAATAGTTTTTCTGTTTGAGAAGAAAGTAGTCAAACAGGTAAAATATTTCCATAAAGATGTTACTTCAGAAAGCATTGAACGGAAACACTATTAACCGAATGAGTGCGCCTTTGCTCTAAATGAAGTTGTCCGGAACATGTTCTTTTGCCTTCATGTACCCGAATATTTGTGGCTATATCAAATTAGAGGAATAGTACTGTTCAAGATCTTTGAGTTGCTAAATGAATTGATATATTTGAGATGATGGAAAACTGAAGCCCTTGTTTTCTGTGTACTATGCAATGAAAGTAAAGTAGAGCATCCCTCGAAAAGGATTTAAAAGTCAAATGAAGTTGGAGCAGTTTTCAGTTACCTTTATCCATCCTCATATTTTTCTTAAAAAGTGCTGATACTTTACATGTGAAATATGACCAGAATGGACGGATGGATGGGTGGATAAGATAATTAATTATAAAGTTTAAGTTCAATTCACAATTCTGTTTTTGGTCGCGATTTCACTGCGAATGAAAATAGTGATTATAATGAAAATTTATGCGTTTCAGTGTGTGTCACAGTTCGCACCTGCTGGTAATAGCCATGTTTGGACTACAGACGATCTTCTTCCAGCATTCGTGTACGTGACTGTACGTGCTCAGCTGCAACATTTAGGTGCCGAAATTCGTCTTATCGAAGATTTTACACCACAACTGCAGGGTAGTGGACAAATTGAACTTATGTTCACCACCCTTAGAGCTAGTTACCTTCAAATTTGTAGCGATAAAAATTCACCCTGAAACGTTTTTTTCTCTTGAAATCTTGAATGCCTTAGAAGGAACGAGAAGTTCGTCAATAATGTGATAATAACATTTGGTAAAGGCTGCTTGAGCTCTAATTCAAATAAAATCCTTGCACTTAATATCACTCTCAACTCTATCCTGCTACAAGCTACAAGCAGATGAAATCTCATTTTTGTTATTGCAAGCTGATATTTTTCTTATGATCTTCTCAACTTGTGTGTCGCGCTCTTTATTTCATTGATTTGGCATATATAATGTTCCTGTTTCATATATTTTCAATCTAGCAACTTTATAATACAGAGTGCTATATACATTCAATAAATGATATCCTTTCAGTTCCCTCATTGTTTTACATGAATCGTTTAAGTAAATCCATCAACGATTCGTGAATACATCAAGTATAAGATTTCACGGGTCCATATTCGATGGATTGCACAATCAGAAAACATAAATGAATACTGAACTGATAAGACAGTGTTTCGCTTATGCTATTTCGACAATCTGCTCAACGATTATGTGTACTTCGGAAGTTACATTCGTTCCATCTTCCGATTGTATTTTAGGTACTGTTTTATCAGTAGAACGGAAGTTGATGCCATAAATAAACATACTCTGCGAATCCAGACAAAATGTTGAAGAGCTGCTTTAAGCGCTCGAAGAATTATATCACCTGATGTTCACTATTGAGAGTAGATTGCACTATGCGATTTTCTTTTGAAAACCAAATTCAAATTAAGCAATGAAAGTTAGGTAAATTGAAAATTGAAGTGACATAAACAGGCAAGAAAAAGAGATAAAGGAATGCACAATGGAAAAAATGATTGTCAAGTGGCCAGCGGCTCGGTAGTAATAAAATTGGTTCGTCAGAATGTCCTCAGCAGTCACATCCTGTGCAGCACCATTACATCATCATTGCCACCTTCTACTGTTTGCTTAGCAATGAAAATTCTAATCAACCGAGTGAAACTTTTCTTGAAACGTGGCACTGACTTTATATGGGCTTCAGTTCTCTTCCCCTTCCTCTTATCCAAAATTCTATAATGGATTTTATAGCTTAACTTACCTGTTAAAACTTATTTCGCTAAAACCTTTCGCTTAGAATTTTTTGATGTGAGGAAACAATTTGATGACGTGATGTGATATTGCACGTAGGATGATGTGTCGATAAAAACCGAAATATTTTTAGTATAAGAGATGGTGTCAATGCTGTAAGGATGTATAGCCCAAGTCGTGTTGTAAGATGCTGTAAATCAACTCATGTTGGAATTCAAGTTTATGTGCAATGTCGGAGTATTATAAAAAGCCTCTGGTAAACTTGGGATCGGTTGGTTTTAACTTTTTGGATCTTTGCGAACAAAATTTGACTATCTGAGGAATCAGGATCACTGTTCATTGTGCATTGCTCAGCATTGTTCATCCAGTGAATTGTGCTATCGAATTCGTTATACTCGGCTACCCTACTTTAGAAGTAATTAATTTTTCCAGAGGGCCACATGAGAAGTTAGAAATGGTTTTCGAGGAGCGGACTGATATACCTAACTTGGTAGGGTAAAACCATATACGTATATACTATCCCTTCATAAAAATAGTAAGCGAAACATTGTAATGGATTCACTGATTACATCATTATTTAATGTTGAGATGATGAATTTGTGATGAAAGATTAACGGACTTTAATATTGAAGGGTTTTGAGTTAAGCTGGCATGCCTATTCATAATGTCGGAAAAACTCCGAAAAATATAATGCTCATAACACAAAAACGTCCCAGTACCTACACCATGGACAATGATGTCCATTGTACCTACACAATGTACAATGCCAAAGACTAGCCAACCTCTATGATAGCCTCGGTGGAGCTTACAAAACTCCTCCCTAATCCTCATATATATATATATATATATATATATATATATAGAAAACTACCAACA